AAAATATTCTTTCGTTTTCTCTTAACTCAGAGAGATAGAACAATCATTTTTCGAATGCATTTTGCACTTATATTCATTACATAAATCTATGCATACCTATATTAAAAAATTAAGTTTTTTTTTGTCATCATTAAAAGACAAAAATTACTTTTTTTTTTTTCTTTGAACTATATTTTGTCATGACTTAAAATTCATTCTAGTCGACTGGTAAAGAATTCAGAATTTTTGGACATCAAATTCTTTTCTTTTTTACGGTTACAAAAAGAAAAATAAACATTACAAAAATTTAAATCATTCATATTTTCTAAATTGAACAAAAAATGAATAGAACATAATGGTATCTAATACAATAAATGAATAAATATAAATATAAAAATAAAAATTCGACTCACGATGAAAACTATCTTTATCTTCATTCATACTTTCATCTTGTTGATCATTAATAATCATCATTGATGGAAAATTATTATTTTTACAATCCATCATATCTAATGATGTAGATGAAGATATTTTATTTGTATTATCTTCATTAAATTCTTGATGATTATGATTGAATCCAAATGATGATGAAGAAGGAAAGATTGATAGAGAATTATTTATAATGTTCATCGTTTACTTTTTTTGAAATGTACAAAAAGAAATGAAGTGTGTGTGTGTGTGACTTATTCAGGATGTTGTGACTAACAGTAAAGAGATATTTATTTAGAACAGAATGGAGAGAAAAAAAAATATGTTTGAACTTTTTTTTATTTCAAAGATACTTGCTATTGGTGTTAGAAGTCATTAGAAAAGTCAATAGAAGAAAAAAAAAAGCAAATAGAATCTATCGACTATACAAACTGTGTTTATACTTGTCGAAAAAGATGAAAGACACTTGGAATAATTGTTCAGGTGTATTAACTTGATATAGATAGTAAAAATTATTTGACTCTCGATGGAAAATATTTTCAAATGAATTATATAATTAAGAACTAAAGAAGAAAAAAAATTAAGTGAATATTTCATAATATTAATGTTCTGTATTATTGTTCAAAAAATTAAATTTTAATTTCAAATATATAAATATCATTTGAGATCTAAAAATAAATTTATTTTTATTATTGTTATAAAAATAGTTTTCTATATTAAATATCGTATCGATTCATATCTAAACACTATAATGATGAATAATAGAGATAACATATTTTAGTTGATTGTGTTAATATAAATATTTTATACGATTGTGTCCTTGTCAAAAGTCGATGATAGGCATGAAAATATATAAGATACTCTAAAATCAATAGGAGCGTCGCAAAACGCCCAATGATAAAATCGATAAAAAAAAAAACGAAAAAATGTCTTTCAATAAATAATTATTTATGAAATAGGTTTTTCTTTCTTAACGTTTTGCAACATAATTTTGATTTTCTCTCACGTGAGAAAAGAAAAAAATATAGGTTTGAAATAAATTATATGGTTATTATTGACAATATAGTTGAATCAAAGTTTTTGTTATTTATTTTGAGACATAAATACGAATACGATCATTTTTTGTTTTTGTCTTATTATAATTCAAATGGAATTGCCAATGCCATTATCAACAACAGTGAACATTCCGTCATCAATGACAGAATCAAATTTTGAAAATCTTCAAAGAACTAATATTTTTTGTTGTCCTCGATGTTTGATTCATTTAAGCAATTTTTTCATATTTGTTATGACTTTAAGTGTATTTATTATTTTACCAATGATTGAAATTGTTATTGGTATTGTCTATCAAAGTGAATGTTCAATGAATCATTATATTCCGATTTATCTTATTGTTACTGGTATTATCTCAATTATTATTTTGATTTTTGCTATGTTTGGAGTAAAATATTATATAGAATAAGTTTGTCTAGTTTTTTTTCTATGATTTTTTTCTAGTGGACTTTTGTATATCCATTGGTTAACAATCTTACACTAAAGAACATAAAAATCGTGTTCTATGATGCAGGAATGTTTTCTAAAGTAATGTTGACTATTGCAATACTTTTCTTATTATTTGCTTTAGCTTGGTTCATTGCTGTAAGTTTATTTGATTAAATATTCATAATTAATACTCTCATTTAAACAGGGTAATGTATGGGTGTTTAGCGCCAGTCTGAATGTTCAATATATTGATCCAATTGAATTTCCTAATACCTATTGCAATCGTAATGTATATTTATTTGGATTCTGGTCAATTATTATTAAATATATTTTTACTTTTGTTATCTGTTGTCGACTGAACTGTTATATATGTAATTCTATTCAAAATACCATTGATCAAGCACAATTGGATATCAACATTTCAATTAATTAATTTATATGTAAGACGATGGAAAACAGTTTAATAACAACATTTTTTTTTTTTCTGTAATGTTACGCACCTAACTCTCAAACCCCGATAATGAATTTAATAGCATGAACTATGATGGTAAAGTTTCTAAAAAAATCAGATATGATAGTTTTCAGGTCCCAAAATACTATTTTTTTAATAATGTCATTTTAAAGAGCACAAAATTCTCAACAAAATTTAATCGATTTTTTGATAAATTTCTATTTTTTTGATACTTTTTAATTAGCTATTAATGCCTTTCCACTTCTCGAAAAAAAGTCAATTTTTGTCAAAAATATCGAAATTAAGATAAATGCATGAAAAGATAACCCATCCTCTGATCTTTCAAAAACAGCATGGGTTTTTTTTCTGGCATCTCATTTTGAAAAAAATTAAAAAATGTTTTTTGTTTTTTCTTAGTGGATCTACATTCTATTTATTTGAATTTTTTTTTGTTTGAAAGAGCATGTCGAGATGCAGAGCACTACAGAGTCCTTTTTTTAAATTAAGCTTTGATTTTATTATATATGCAAACCAATGTACGAACGGACACCCATTTTTGGCTCGTTTTTAGAATATTTTTTGAGACGTTGAACTTGTCACTCTTTTTTTTTTGCATAAAAAGTAAGAATATATAAAATTAGCCTGGACAGAGAAATTTGAGTTGCTAAATGAGCCATTTTTTACCCTTGTTTGGTGAATATCTCCTTCAAATGTCATGCTACAAGCCTGAAAATTTTTACCACAGCTTCTCCACTTCAGTTCCTACATATCCTGAAAATTTCATGCACCCAGTCTGAGATCGATTTTTATAGGGGAGGGGACCTTAAAATCAATATTTGAATTTGAGCTAGATGCTTAACATTATAGAAAAAAAATACGTTGTTGTTAAACTTTTTTCAACCACCGAATATATATATCTGTATGCATATTATCAGAAAACGAATCTTTAGAATGATGATTAAAAATGTATTATTAATCTGAACAATAGTGGTAATATTGAACATATTTCAATATTTTATTTAACAATGAAAGAAAACAAGAAATAATAATTAAAAATGAACTTTTTTTTTCTTTTTTTTCGGTGGTTTTCTTATATCATCATCATCATCGTCACTGTCACTATCACTTTCATCACTAGATCTTTGTTGTTCATCATCAAATTCTGTTTGTTCATTAATTTCTAAATCAGCAAAAAATGAATTATCTTGTTGTTTTCCACTTTTCTTTTTCTTTTTATTTAATATTATTTTTAATTGTTGAGTATCAATTAATTGTAAAGTTTCTTGTGATGTTGATGTACCAATAAGATAATCAGTATCACATGATGTCGATAATGTTTGAATTGGCATTGAACCTGTACGACCAACGATTGACATTATTCGATGAGGATAAAGGCTAAGACAACTAAAAATAAATTAATATATAATAAACAGAAATAAATTAAAAAAAAATAATCGAACCGAATTTTTCCATCTTCACAACCAGTAACAATCAATGATTGATCAAGTGAAGTAAGACATTCAATTCCACCTGGATGACCAGGAAATCGATCAGACATATTACCAAATTCTTTCCAATTGAAAAAATATAAAACACCTTCCATTGTACTACATACTACTTTAGTTCCATCCTAAATCGAAATGTTCTTTTTTTTGTTTTTTACACTTAATATGATAATCAAAAAAACAAAAAAAAAATCAAATTTTTTTTTTTTTTTACTTTAACAATCTGACAAGCTGTTAAATCACTATCCATTAATTCTGATTGTATTTGCAACTTTTTCTTTCGAACATTATAAACAGTTAATGTACCTTCACCACTAAAATATTTCAAAATTATTTTTCAGAATAAAAAAAAAAAACAAAGCGATGTTAATTAATTACCTTGTAGTAAGTAATGTTCGTCGATCATTTGCACAAGTTAAATCACTAATATAATCATCACAATCATGAAATTCAGCTAAAGATTTCTTTTGTCTATAATCCCATAACTTTTTTTTTTCAAATTTATATTTATTTTAAATAAAGTTTTCTTTTTTCTTTTCATTTACCTTAACATAACCATCATCATCACCTGTTGCTAATACACAATTATCAACGATACATAAACAATTTATAGGAGAACTATAAAATTAGAAAAGAAATTAAAAAACAAAAAATGAAATCAAATACTCGTGTGCTCGTTTATATTTTGTAATCATTTTTCCGGTTTCTGTTGATCTTAATTTAATTGATTTATCTTTAGATACAGTTATGATTGATTGACCATCAGGTGTTAATCCAATAGCACGAACTGATTTTTTATGAACTTTCATTGAACGTTCATTTGACATAGATTGTTCATTTTCATCATCATTTATTTTTATCCTATCAACAACAAAAAAAACAAAAAAAGATTTTACAAAAAAAGAAAAACTTTTTTTTTTTTCAAACCAGTGCAAATGTCCAGAAATTGCGCCGGCTAAGAAGAGATCTCGAGTAATAGGACAAAATCGAGAACACATGATTTCTGTTGGAAATTCAATTTCTGGGCCATCATCAAATAATGATGTTGAAACCATGATGAAAAGAGATGTTTTAATAAATGAAATTAAAAAAAGATTACTTTTCCTTGCATGTTTTAATAACTGTATAATTATTGGATAGAAGACTAAACTAGTCAAATCGAATAAAACTACCTTCAGAGTATGAACAGATGTCGCCAAATCATCGCTTATAAACGTTAGATCAAGAAATTCTCTTTCAATTGAAACAGTCAATTTTTCTAAACTGATGAGAGAATTTCTTCTTCAAGTATCAAATCGCTTTTCGATCTAGACGATATTCATTTAATGAATACTGATGAATAATAGAAAAGTCTCGAATGATTTGACATTTCTAATTTTTGTTCTTAAGATCTCGAAATTTAACGGAGCTTTTTTACCAAAAAGCTTTCGTCTCCTCAGAACGGGTAAAAAATCGGTTTGCCAAGTTTTGACTTCAAACTTTGCACGAACAAAAAAATTCTGATACTAGAAAAGTTACAACTTATCGGATGAACTAATCTCATTAAGAATTTTATTCGTACAAAGTTTGAAGTTGAAACTCGAAAGTCGATTTTCCATGTTATCTGACACGAACCATAGCTTTTTGTTGAAAAATCCAGTAAAATTTAGATATCTTAAGAATGAAGGCCTAGAAAAGTAAACCATTCTAGGCTTTTTTATTACTCACAAATACTTATCAAATAAACATCGTCTCGGCTGAAATACAATTTAACATCTGGCAAGGTTCTCTCGTGAGCTGTCCGAATCGTTTTTTGCTCTATTTTTGAGAAAATCATTTTCGGATTAAAAAAAAAAAGAGAACAAAATCTTTCGGACAGCTCAATTCTTCTGATACGATCTGATTTATTATAACAGTTCTTTTATTCATTTAATCTGAACAATTGTCATGCTCATCATCGAAAATGAGATCATCGAAATGAATATCATCGAATTCTTTTCGATCATCTGCTAGCTTACAGTTAGTGTTGAAATTAAACTAGTGATTAAACTTGACTTGGTCCCTAAGTCAAGTTAATAACTTATTGTATCACTCACTTAAGTTAGTTATTGTCTAATAGATTCGATCATTGACACAAAAATCACCGAAATGGTACTTCGTCAAAATGTAGTTCGCCAAATTTTGATGATGTGACACTGTTAGCAAAGAGCATACTGGTCATCTGAACTTTGAACTAGGATCTGACCGAACTCTAATTATTTATCTTCAAACTTAGTATTTCCATTGTTCAATCCAACTTTTCTTTTTTTCGTGGAAAGAAAAAGTCTTTTGCCTAAAGTCGATAGATTTATTATCGAAGCTATTTTACAGAATTTTTCTAAGATTATTATATTGTAAGATCAATAAACTAAGTTTTTTTTTTTAGATATTTTAACACAAAAATCGAATAAACGTACATTTTTATTACAAGATAAAATGCATATTAAATTTAGATGAAAGAGATTTCCACAAATATAAAAAAACAAATGTATCTTTGGTATCAACAAGATAGATTATCATTTGAAACAAATACATAAAAGAGTATCATGCTAATTATATAGATAATAAGAAAGCGGTTTTTTTTTTAATAAATGCTTTTCACTTTCTCTTAAGCTTCTATAATAGATAACAGCGAAAAATAGTAAACAATAACAAATCGAATAACAATAAATATATATATAAACAAGCTTGATTAATTAATGCAAATAAAAAATGAAATGAATATATTCATAATTAATATAATTCTTTATTATTCTGTTGCTGTAATACCAAGAACAACTTTTCCATTAACACTATGAGTTTCACCAGCAGCTTTAGCTTCAGTTCGAATAACTGTCGTTGATGTTGATGTTAAAAGACGATTAGTATCTGCAGTTCCCAAACTAAATTTATTAATTTTTTTTTTTTTATAAGAAATTTTTTTTTTCTAAATAATCTTACGCAGCAACTTGTTGTGTAATTGCATCCATTTTTGCATTTGCTTGTACTTGAGCTTCACGTAGAACAGTCATTTTCAATCGATTAGCTTCTTCATTTAATTCATCAATACGTTTTCGAGCTTGTTCAAGAATCATATCTTGACGTACATTTAAATCTTTTTCAAGTAAAGCTAAATCTTGTGCTTTAGCTGTATCAAGTTCTTCAATAAAATTTTGTAATTTAATTTTATATTCTTCTTCAATAGCAGCTGAACGTAGATTAGCATCAACTAAAAGTTTTCCTTGTTGAATTTGAGTATCAACAACAACTTTTGCAATAGCTCCTGTTACTTCTTCAGATATTTGTTCAGTACGATGACGAGAATATTCATCAATTTGTTGATGTGTTGTACCTAATATTAAGAAATATATTACAATGAAATATAATATATGAAACTATTTTACCAAGTTTATTCATTAATATAGCCATTTTTTCGATATTTTCCATATTAACTTTTGATTCTGTTTCAGTACTAACAATTGATTTAACAGCAACATTTTCAGCAATGGCTGTATGAGCTACAGCTAAACCTGTTGTAGTATTTGCTTCATGTCCAATAATTGACATTTTGTTTAGCTGAATTACAATAGAAAAATTGATAATCTGAAATGAATAAAACATTCTCTTTGATTCAGAAAATTAGTGTTTTATTCAACGTGGATACAGCACTTCTCCAAAGACAGTGTTAGTCCTCTCGAAGTTTGTAGTTATTGTACCAAATGCTATATATCTGTGCTTTCAAAAGTAAATGCTCACCTTCCCGAGTGTTTAAATCATTCCTTCGAAAGAGAAAATCTGGATAAAATATTGTCTCAACAAAAAAAAAGATATATTAATAGATCAATGAATCAATCAAATATTGAATACAAATGAAATTTTCAACTTACGTGTATCTGTTTTTATGAGAATAGAGTGAAGAAAAAAAGAAGTGAATGTTTATATGTATAATGTTCGCCTTTTTTGTAGATCATTCTTTTGTTATCTATTTTAGAATAGAAGCTTAACATCATATTTCATATATATGAAACATATCTTATCAGACATATTTGTAATGGCAATAATTCACTATCTCTTTTTCTATTATATTTTATATATGCATTGCAGAAATTACAATGCCGAAAGCAAATTAGAATAACAAACACATATCATTTTTTGTTTTTTTGTTTGTTGATTCATTTATTGAAAAAATTTCTAATGAATAGATTATTGATGAATGTTAGAAATAATAACAAATAATATGTTTTGAAAAAAAATTTATATCAATAGTTTACGAGGTGAAATGATATATCTCTTTTTAACTAAAGATTCTATTAGCTTTTGATGAGGAAAAATAAAAAATTTAAAACATTTTTGTATAATATTGTATTGGTGCTTTTACATCAGTAACGATAATCAAATGTATTTTTTTTTCCTCTTTTCTGTAACGATAAGATAAGTAACGCAATACACGAAAAAGTCTTTATTATACAAGTATACAACATATGACACCGGATGTTACAATCTTCTCTACTGCATTCGTTAGAAAAAAAAATTCTTTAGTGGTGTAATCCATGAGAAGTGTAAAATAAATCATTGAATTCTCTTGTCTTTTTTTTTTGATTTACTCTTCTAGCTGCGTTGTTTTATTATTTATCAAAAAAAAAAATTATACGTTTGGATTTTTTTCTTCAAGTTCGATATTGTCTGTTGAAATTATCCTGAATAGAGTTAAATCATTTCCATTAATTCTTCTCTATGAACCTTACTATTTGCCCTCTGTCTCTCTTTCAGTTTCTATTTTAATGCTCTAATCGTATACAAAAATAGAAGAGGAAAGAAGCACATTAACATGCTGTTTTTTCATTCTCCCGAAAGAAAAAGTAGTCGAGTGGGCATAGTCAACATTCATTCATTCATATATGCTTCAACATTGCAGGATAAAATATGAGATACAACAACTATTTTATATATTGAATATATAATATATATCCCAATGATGTTTATCTATTAAACCCAGCTCTCTGTGGCAAAGCCATTGATGATAATTGCATGTTGCAATGCATTGACTGAGGGATATAAATAAAATAGATTTAATATATTCTTTTGTTTTTTTTTTTTAATATAAATCAAAATAAAATAAATAAATCTTCTTCGTTCTTATTTCATGATGAATATAGGTTTTTGTTTTTTTTAGTGTACTTATGAATAGATACAAGCACATAATAGAAAAAAAGAAATTATTCGAAGAGAGAAAAAAAAAAAAAAGAAAAGATCATTTCGAGTTTTGAATACACTCGAACAACATCGATACAACGAAAAAAAAAAAGAACACTTTTGCTCATCGAGCATTTCTCTGTTCGTTTGTACACATCATAAATTATTCTTTCCTAATTTCATTTTAGATATCCGTTGCACGAAAACGTGCTGCTTGCTCTCGAACTCCTAAAAACAAAAAAGAATCAAAAATTAAAATTAAAAAATTAAAAAAAAAATTTTCTTACGTTTTTCATATTCAACTTTATCTTGCATATAAATAGCATAGGCTTCAGCTTGTGCTGGATCTTTTGGATTTGGTTCATTTAATAATTCTTGTATTCCAAGTAGAATTTGTTTTATTGTTATTGCTGGACGCCAATCTTTTTCTTCATCAAGTAATGATAAACATACTGTTCCACTCTATTTTTATTGATAAAATAAAGATTTTTCTTTTTTTTTGTTTGAATTTACTTACGGGATAAATATTTGGATGAAATAGTGGTGGTTCAAATTTACATTTGGGTGGTGTTGATGGATAATCATCTTTGAATATCATACCTAAATTCATATTCAAAGATTTAAATAGTTTTATTCAATATAATTAAACTTACGTAATTTAAATAAACCACCTTCCCATGGTGTGCCAGGTTTGCCTAATCAATAAAAAAATAAAAAAGAAAGATTTTGAGAATTTTAAGAAATTTTTGTTTTTTGTATACCTGGAATACCACATTCCCAATTGAGAAGATTCAAAGTTCCATCAACATTTTTCGATGGTCTCTAAACGAGAAAATTAGTATTTAAAATGAAAAGAAATTTTAATTTACAGCAATAAAACCAAATGGATGATCTCGTCTCCATGCTTTTCGTTCTTCTGTAAGACGTGCTGCTGAAATTCCAGCCATTGTTTTTCTTTTAATAATAAATTATTTCTGAAAATAATTGATTTAATAAATGCCTCAACTTATATTTTCAATCAAAGAAAATAATACCAAAAAAAAAAAGAAAAACAAACAGAGGATATAGATTTAAACCAATTAGAAATTAGATAGTGTCTATTATTCTATTCTTCTTTATTCTTTTAACTCAAATCAAATAATTATCTCGACTGAAATATTTATGCAACTTATATCAAACTGAATTTGTCAGGGATTAACAAAATGGAATCTTTTTTAAATAGATGACGCTAGTCGATATTTGTTTGAATTTTATATAGTTTTTCTAAACTTTTTTCTTTTACTTAGAAAAATGATTCAGTTCAATTTCAATATGTTTTTTTAATTTTTAATTTTATTTAATATACAAATAGAATTAATAATTGTTTTGTATGAAGAATATCGATGATGAGTCATCTGTTTGAAAAGAATTTCACAATGCTTAACAAGTAATTTTCTATTTTTGTGTTTATTCGTTTTCATAATAGTAAAATATTAATTTATAAAAGTTATATTTAAGAGTTCATTAAGATTTTTGTTTAGACGATGATTGTCAGTTTATTTATTGATAAAATTTGAAAAGAAGTAACGTTATATTTACCATTAATTTATCGATATTTAGATCTACAATCAATGCTAACTTCATGTAATACGCATGATTATGATGGTAAATTACGTCAAAAATGGTTTGAAATGCGTCCAATATTAATTGAAAAATATCTTCCGAATTGTCTTTCATTTGATGATACAATTAAAGATATCGAACAATGGCTTGATAAAAAATATTATAATATTAAACGAATTGGTCGTGCACGTCGTTCTTTAAGAATTCTTATATCAAATCGACATAGTAATTTTGATTCACGTAATGATATTGATGTTGAAGAACTTTTACCTATTCTATGGGATAAAGTTAAAAATCAAGAAGATATACATGATACTTTCTATGAACAATTATGTGATATTACTGGTGGAAGTTGTTCTCAAGGACGTTCAACTCGACTTTTTCAATTCTTATTTCTTTTTGATTTACCATTAGAAATATCGAAGATCGAAGAAGAAAAAATAGAAACATCAACTGAACAACAATCAAAAGAAAAAAATTTACCAGAAGCAACATCAAGCACAACATCAAGCACAACATCAATAGTCAAAGAAGAAAAAACAGAGATATCGACTGAACAAGAATTAAGAGATAAAGATCTATCATCAGAAACATCAAGTATAACACCGAAAACCGAAGAAGAGAAAATAGAAATTTCGACTGAACAAGAATCAATAAAAAAAGATTTACTATCAGAAACAACATTTAATGAGAATTCAGCTTCAATATCAAAAGAAAACCAACAATTACAAGAAAAATCTAAATCTAATGAAGAACAGTTATATACAGAGGAAAAACCAAAAGAAGAACAACAATTAGACGAAGATCAACAGTCACAAAGAAATCAATAATCTGATAATATAGAATAAATCAATTCTTATGCCAACGCAAGAGAATAACAAATATATTTATATTTTTTTTTAGTATGTTTTACAATGATTGCAACGAGCTATTTAATTTTTATTCTGTTGTACCATTGAGGGTGCTTCTTTTTTCTTCTTTCATCAATATTCTTGTGATAATATTAAAGACAAATATTTGTAAATATGAATTTATAGGAGAAAATTTCTTCTTCGGATTGTTAATAACTAACGTCATGAATATTATCCATAGTAATGAGAGGATCGTAATAATTATTTGAAACTAAATACTTAGGCAAATGAAATCATTTTGTTGAGATTCATCGACAACAAGTTTTAAAATGACATCAGTCCATCTCATGTGTTTATTATTAGGTGAAATCTATTTGAAACAAACATTAATCACGGTAAACGAAGTCTAATGGTTATATCAGGTATATTCATCAGACTGCATATGTGCAGTATGTTCGTGCAAATCACATGCAAACAAGATCATTTTAATAATCATATCTACTGGAATAATACGTAACTCTCGATGACGATAGTGTTCTTTTTCCAAATGAACAGTTGGCAGTGCCAGTAAATTGTAAGTGATAAAATGATTATCATGACTCGGTTCAAAGCTGATAGTGCATAGAATTTCCTTCGTTATTTCACTGTACACGAAAAATTAATTGAATTGGTCCAAATTCTCTATGGATATTCTACTACTGGATGCTACAAAACAAATGGATATTAAATTTTGGTTACACTCTCATAGAGTTTGTGTTAGTGGTTTAAAGATAAGTGTAATACCTGTAAGAGCGCCTTTGACTTTCGACTACCATGTCGTTTCTTGTCCTCACAAAAATATATATAAATAAATGTTGAAGAATTTCTCGAACAACAGAAATAATAATTTGATAAAGTTTTACTCGAAATAATCATGAAAGTCTTCTATTAGTTTATATTGATAACAAAGTCGATATATATAGATCGACCTCAAACGAATGTGTTGTTAGTATTAACTAATTATTTCTCATAATTGAATAATTGTATTGTCACAATAATTATTGAGTACTTCTACACGATATGTATCATCTTCATCCTTATGCACGTTGTATTACATAGAAAAAGCACTGCATGTGGGTGACAGTGTAGTGTATTCTATATCCTTATGTTCAGTCTAAAAGATAATGAAAGTAACAAGAATATCTTGATTTTATAAATTTTGGATTTATTTTATTAATCTTATTTGTGGTTGGCATTTGTTTTAGTGTTTTCTTTTTTGAATGCTCCGTTCTATTTGCTTGTCTGTGCTGACGGCAAAAAAAATGAACGAATTATAAAGAAAATGAAAATCTGCTAGTTTTTCTTAACAAATTTTTCTACTTGACGAAATTCTCTTCTTTTTTTTTTCTCTTTATGTCTTGTATCATATTGTTATATGTGAATGAAAATATTTTTTCCAAATAAAAATCTGAAAAAAAAAACGAAGAATATTTTATTACGGATTTAAATGTAGTAAGACTTAAACGCATCGGATAAAATGATTCAAGTAGATTATCAATATTAAGATTCCTTTCGAATCGATTTCGAGCTGTAGATAAGATTCTTTTATTTTTACATCAAAACATTCGATTTTTCTTAATTTATATTGAAAAATTAGATTAATGTATTCTTGTTGATTTTACAAAGTATAATGTACATGTTTATATTTCATATCAAACTTATTGATATAGAAATATTTATTTATTTGTCTAGTTCCAATAAGAAGATCTAAGCAGATTGAGCATCGTATATGAACCACTTTTCAATGGAAATATTACAACATGTACTGATAATGTAATAAAACTATATTTTAATAATTGAACAAAATCATTCAATGATTGCAAAATATTATGAATATTGAAAGATTAGTTGAGAAGAATTCATTAGTAAAATTTATTTCTTTAAATATAATTCGAGAATTTTTCTATTATATAAATACATTTGACAATATAAAATAGTTCATGATGTGCAATATCTGAACTAACGAGGAAAGATTTCTCAGTGTCAAACTACTTTTTGAGTCAGGACTATGTGCATCAAGTAATGGATATCATGACAAGAGTTCTGGTCAATAGCTTATTACTTTAGAGATACTGTGTTTTTACCGTATTTTGATCTCTCTCAAGAATACGAGGAAAACTGAGTTTCGAATTTCGAAATTCAGTGTTTTTCTAAGTGGGACGATGGCATTCTGCTAAAAAAATACAGTATCTCAGCAGTAATAAACTATTATCTCGAATTATTTTCATGATATTCATAGCTCATTAAAACCTATATGTTTGCATATAGTCTCGACTCAAAAGCGATTTGATACTTAGAAATGTTCGCTTGTAAATCTTTCAAAAGTTCTAATTAAAAACATTATATACAAGTAATTTTACTCATAGACATCTTCATGATAGATTAATTGATGTTGTCAAAATTATTTTGATTTTCATCAACATAAATTGGATTTTTTTTTGGACTGAAATTGGTGTTTATACATTATCAACATTATTGAAATATCTCATGAATAATCAATATGAAAATTTTCTTTTTTTTTGTCGAATTATATCTAATCTCGATCATCTCTTTGTTTGAATGATGTTTAAATAATTAATGTATATCACATGAAATTGAAGGTAGAATAGAAAGAAAAAAAAACCTAATACACTAACTGAAAATTTCTTCGTAAAAAATAATTGAAGTACCTAAACTACTCTTTATATTCGGATTGAACAGTTGTAAAAAAAAACAACTTTGGACAATAGAAAACATACTTATATAGTTTCAATGAACACTTCTAATTCATATATTGCTACCAAACCATTATTCAAATTACCAATATATATCTATTTCCAGAAGTAATCACCACTAGAACCCATCGGGTTCAAAATTTTAGTTCCGGACTCGATGGGCTCCTTCTACAAAAGATAAATCAATCAAGTTCGAATTCAAAATTTTGATCGACCGGATATCCAATGGGCTCTAATCACCACCTAATTCGAGATTGGTATAACCATGAATATTAACATTAACTAACAACTAATGTGTAATAAATTCAAAAACACCTCAACATTGTTAATGGTCTAAAATCGTCACGAAATTCTTCTAAGAATAAAAAAATGTAGTTGTCTCTTTCAATTTATTTGATTTTGTATGTGATAAATGAGGTCATTAAAGTCATACTACAAATATGCAAATGTTACAAGGTCAAGCAATGTTTGTATTGTATTGATATTACTCTTTGTTGGCTTCTATGTTGATCAATATAATAAAATAGAAAATTATGAAGTCAATAATGAGTAATTTTTATTGATATCGTGTTTTTAACGTCGTCACTATTGCTATTTTCACGTTTTTAGTGTTGTAGAAAAAAAGAAAATATAGTCAAACAAAAGCGTAAAATATAAAATAGATATATATGCTTCAAGATCACTGTTCAGAAATCGATGCATGATCCATCGTAGGTCATTGAAATCTATCTTTATATCTTAGGCATAAAACAAATATTTGATCATAACTTGATTAAAAAATTGTCAAGTTTGTTAATGTTCAACGATCTCGTGTATTAATTATATAATAATTCTCTATAGTATATGTACTAGATTATTATAGGTGTCGATTCTCTTTTTCTATATTTATAATCAATGACTGTTCACCAATAATAACGTGTTATTTTTGTACGTAGTTTTGTTTTTTATGTATCGATTCTTTTCCAAAAAAAATAAAGATCAATATCCAAATTTTATTCGATAGAAATATATTTAATTCAATAAAATTTGTTTGCTATAATTATTAACCTGATAATAATTATATTTCATTTTATTAATAGTCAACTAAGCAATGAATATCCATTGACATGCACTTCCGTCGGCAATTATAACTTTCCTCATCATTTATTTCATATATTCATATTTCATTCTATTAAATGTTCATTTGATAAACTTCAACAAGAAAAATAAATATTTAATAAATAAAGAGTTCTAGTTCCGGTATATTCTTTTGTTAATTTATCTTTACGTTATTCTCTTTGTGTATTAAACAGAACGTATAGTACTATTACAACTCATTGATGAATTGAAAAAAAAAACGAGGAAGATAAGTTTTTTTTCTTCTTGTATTCATTTCTCTCTTTCTCTTTACCCTATCAAAATTACGTCAAGCGTCCATAGAGAAAGAGTAATCGCCATATGTATGTATGGAAGAAAGTAAAAATGGCATTGTGATTGTAAAACGTTTATTTCATCTCATCCTTGTTCTTCTTCTTCTTTTTTTATTCATACTTATCAACAAAGAAGATAGTAATTGTCAAAATCGGTTTTAATGCTAATGTCAAATAGACCAATAGTTGTACTAGTAAGTGCTTGTCAAACAAAAAAATTCTAAAATCAAAATAATCTAAACAAATATAATAGATATTATTATGGAATTGTCAAAATTTAATGTCCTATTATCATGTTCATGAAGATAGTATTGATGAAAGAAATATTTCGATAACTTCACCAGAGAATTTTTATTTCGAAACATTTATTGAATCATCAACAATAGAACAAACGAGTGTTTCTAATTATCAAATTTTTGATTCAAACGAAACATCAACATCGTTTTTTTCTCCAATCACTATCTTCATTACTGAAGGTAAAATGTTTTTGTATTGTTTTTTTTTTTTTGATTTCTCAACCTCTGTTTACCCGAATTTCAATAACTGATAAAATGGTTTCATTTTTCTGAAACATCTAATGGCAGAAAGAGAAATGATGACTATTCATTTAAAAATTTTTTTTGTTTTGTCTATCTATATTTTACTAATGAAATAAGAATGGCAGTTAGTGGTGAGATGAACTTTTATTTTTAATTTTTTTCATTATTTAATTTTAATTTTTTTTAGTACCTCTATTATTTTCTATTATCTCTTTAACTATTCGAACATCTCGAATTGAACAATATGAATATTTCTATTCAATTGATATATTAATAAA